CTTCCACTGCCTTGGCCAATCTGGCAGGAAGCAACCATTTTCTGTTTGCCTCCTGTATAAGGCAAGCAGCCAATCTGACATGGCTGTATAATGGGTAAGCTATCCCTTTGGTCTGTACTAAGAAGACTGGATGGAAGAGGAACATGAAAGGCTGTCCTCCACACCAAGCATGTTTGCTGCATAGCCCTTCTTTTCCATATCCCTATGTGAACCAAGCCATTCCTTCTGCAAGGATCAGGGAGAAAAGACAATATTGTCTTCAGGTCTTGATCCTAACTACTCTTGCCTCTATGGCACTGTAATGTCCCTGAGTCTTGATCTCATATGGCTGTGAGCCACTGGGACTTGGTAGCCTTCTCATATTGGGTCAGATCATGCACATTTAATGAATGTGCTGACCCATGGAAAAAAGGCCAGGGATGGGGACTTGAGTTGTGGGACTTATTTATTTATTTATTTAACTTATATGCCGCCCACTCTACCCAAAGGTCTCTGGGCAGCTTACAACAATTAAAATACAATTAAAATACAATAAAAGATAAAACGATACAATTGCGATAGATACTCTAAAAATTGCTGGACTTGCTGTCCAGTCAGACTTAAGTTGCACTGGCGATTCGACTCAGACTTAACTTGGTTTTTTTTTTTCAATGACTGAGACTCGATTTGTGACTCAGTATCCACACACCTTTCCTTTTTATTCCGGGGGGGGGGGGGAGAAGCTTGTTTTTAGTAGGGGCTTGGACTTGGTGCCAAAAACTCAGGCCTGGACTTAGACTGAGAGACTTGCGAAAATCCCTGAAAAAGGTCCAGGGTAGCCCTTGGTTTGAAAGGAGCAGATCACAGCTAAAGAATCCAGGATGACAATGTCAGCAGCAGCAGAGAGAGAAAGAGAGAGAGATTGGTCACAATTGTCCTGTCAACACAAGCAGTAAACAAAATGCTAGGGCTGTCCCACACTGAGAAGACAAATCTAATCCGAAACAGATAGCAGGAGATCCCAAATGGGAAGTTTCTCTAACAGGCATAAATAAAGCACGAAGAAAACACTGGAAAAAAAGAGAGAGGAATATGTTTCCTAGTTTAAAAAAAAAAGAGCACAGCTTCGAAACTGCTGTTAAAACTGCATTTTCTTTTTGTGTTGGGAGCCATTAAAATAGCCAGGCCATTTCAGCTCCGAAAAGTTTTCAAAACCTTTGAAGATCAACAAAGCTTTCGGTTTCAGGGGGGCTGGAAGCAGCAGTGGCAGTCTTTAATGAATGAATAAACTTGACATTGATGACACGGCAGAGGCCCTAGAAACAATGATGAGAAATGAGATGATGGAAGGCTCTGTCACATGGCGATGATGAGGCACAGTTGCTGAGGATTCTGAGCGGAAGGGTCTTGTCCAATAAGCAGGCTTTGATTCTTTTAATGGATTACTGGGTAGCTGGAAAAATCGGAGCACAAACCACTTAAAATGCTGTTCCTGACAACCATGCCCAAGACTCCTGGCTGGCATTTTATTGACATTGTTCTAGTTCCACAGGGGACATTTTCCCCTTGAAATTTTTATGAAAACAAGTATCACAGCAAGACATTCTTCCCAGCTTTTCAGCTGTAGAGATTTTATTGCAGTGAATAAAAACTCTATGTGAGTTTCCCTTTAAAGTGTGTAACCTAAAATTCCTTAAGATTCAAGACTGGACTAATATTTGATCATATAAATAAAAAAGAACTGGTGTGTTCCTTCACTTCTCACCCACCTGCTAACTCTCTCCAGAGAAAGAAAAAGAGATGGATTGAAGACACAAAGTCTACTAAGCTTCTGCCTCCTGTTTGGGGAGGGTTCAGGAGGGCACCAGTGTGAGTTGCTTGGTTTTTAAGTATAGGATGCAGAAGTCAGAATGGATAGATCACAAAGTTCTGCAACAAAAATACTTGCAGTTTGCACATAGGATGCTGTTCTGTCTCATGGACCAAAGCAGAGACAATGTTATGACTTGGTTGGGAAGAAGCAGGGCCTGTTTCATGCCAGAGTCTGGTTACTGTTGTCAGTGCTGCAGTGAAACTTAGATCCAAGGTAGTTGTTGCAGATAAACCATTTATTTATTTATTAGATTTGTATCCCACCCATCTAGACCAGTGGTCCCCAACCTTGGGCCTCCAGATGTTCTTGGACTTCAACTCCCAGAAATCCTGGCCAGCAGAGGAGGTAGTGAAGGCTTCTGGGAATTGCAGTCCAAGAACATCTGGAGGCCCAAGGTTGGGGACCACTGATCTAGACTACGTCTATCTGGGTGGGATACAAATCTGAAATCTTAAGGAATTTCCTCTTCTAACCATCCTTAGAAGAGGAAATTCTTTAAGTACTGAAAATATTTGACTTCCATAGGAGAGGCTTTTCACACCTCTGGCAATATGCAAATTGGCTTGCTTTGTTTTGTGATTAGTCATTGGAAAGTAACCATAGGATTCATTTGCTAGACTGATTTCTCAGTCATGAAGGTCTTCCTGTCTCTAAAATGCTAATGCATTTCATCATCTAGTGATGGGCTATCTGTAATGTATAGTTTGGGCCTTTTTCTAAACTCTTTAAAACTGCTCTGCCCAGCCTCTCAGCTTTTTCCAGTTCTAGCATGGACTCATCCATGTCCCTAGTGTCAACACATGTTTAGTTGGTCTATAGAGGCCAGGTCAGTGTTGCAGTTGTTGCTTGCTAGCTTATTGGCCTGGCTAACTGAGAGGCTTTCACTCTCTGCCTTCCCATACTTTGCATTAACTATTGTTGGAACAAGGTTGCACAGAGGGATGTGGTGAGTTAATTAGGTATGTTTGGTCACCTTGGCAGGAGCAGATGGGAGATCAGATAGGTGCTCCCCAAGGTCTACAGCTCAGAATTGCTAGAACTACAAACAGGATGTAGATTGCTTTTTGAGTCAACTACCTCACCTACCTGGAGTTACAGGTGGGGAGGGGGCAGAAAGGAGCAATTCAGGAGGTTCCCCTCCTACTACTCATCTGGGCAAATGTGTCTTTAAGAAAGAGGCTGACAGAAATCACCATCATGGGTAATTTTACCTTTTCAGCTTTGCAGTTTTTTTTGGTGTGGTGTGCTTATCTCAGTCAACTTGCAGAGCCCGTGAGCACTGTAATAGGTGAGTAGCAGAAGGGCATCATCTTGAGTCACTCCTTTCTGCCACCTCCTCATCTGTAACTCCAGGTAGGTGAGACAGTTGTCTCGAAAAGAGCAGCATAACACTCTTAAGACCTTTAAGAGTATTATCCTGTCATGAGTGAAATGTCAATCTTCTTCTGTTATTGTTACCCATTTTGGGCACATTGCATTAATCCTTCAAGGTCAGTTACATTGGGCTGGCGCTGCCATTGTGGCTCAAAGAATGGAGGTGACCCATGCCCCTCTCAGTCTCTGAAGGGCCCTGGGACAGTACACCAAATCTGGTCAAATCTCCTGAACTACTAACCAAATCAGCCTGTTTTGAACCGATTTGCATGAGGACCAGATTGAAATGAAATGGCCAGATTCAGTTCTGGAGCAAATGTACATATTAGTTTATTTCTGGAGCACAATATTTAGATTAGGCACAAACCAGTCCAGATCAAATCAAGCTGAATTGAACGCCCTGAATTGCCCTGCAAATTGGATTGAGAAGATATCATTTTGCTGTACACGTACAATCAGATTTTACAGTGGCCCTCCAGACATCATCCCAGACCATTAGCTTGTATGGCTTATGGTCATAGAAGTTGGAGTCCAGAAACATCCGGAAGATCACAGGTGTCTCAACCCTGATGTGGACAATTATTAACAAAGCTAAATGGTGTAGACCAATGGTCTAACTCAATAAAACACAGCTTCCTAGTAGAGGAATTCAAACAATTTTTCCTCTGCTTTGCTTCTAATATGGCTTTGCCATTCTCTTTTGGTTTTCTGCTTCTTTTCTTCATTGTAAGAGGAAAACAAACAAAACTACAGAAAAAGTCAACAGAAAAGTGCTTTTACCTCATCAATGCTTTAATTGTTAAAGAAACCACTTAGCACAGTGGGTTAATTTTTCTTCCTGTGTAGCCTCCACACTCTCTGTTGTGCTAATAATATTGCAAACCATTCTTTCCTATTCAAAAATATCATAAGGTGAAACACCTCACCTCACACTTCACAGAAAGAAGACTCTTAAATGGACTTTTTATGCAGTGAAACACAGCTGATGCAAAATTTGTAAAGTAAACAGTCCAGTAAACTCCAGATGGACCATTTTGATCAACTGAATCATACTTCATTACCTGCGGAGAACAGCAGCATGTGTCGTCCCCAGCACTCTGCCCACACTAACTTTTTAACAACACCATCCCTTAGTTTTAGGTAATGGAAAATTTTAAATCTTCAAGAACATTGTCCCATCATAAAGTCCTCTCAGGGGTGAAGAATCAACCTTCTTGCATTATCCCCCCCCCCCATTTTGACCACAGTGCATTAATCCTTCAAGGTCAGTTACACAGGGCTGGCCCTGCCACTGTACATAGTGAGGCTGTTTCCTCAACAGCAGATACTGTGATGTGACAAGATGTTGTTGGGGGACAGAGTCTGCTCTGTGTCCTCTAAACCACCATACTATTTTCAGTGGAGGGCACCATCCCATCATCAGTGTTGAATAAGAATTCTTCTGTAGCCCAGCAGTTTTTATAGACAGAACCTGAAGGAGAGCCATCGAACGGCAAAAATAATTAGGTCAGTCCTGCAATGAGAAGCTTCTTAACCTTGTTTCGAAAACAGGTTTTCCACTGTGATAATTACTATTACCTTTGTATCTCATCCAACCTCTGAGGAGCTCCAGATGGTGTACATGATTTCTCCTCTTTCATCCTCACAACAAATTAGTGAGGTTGGTTAGAAATGCTAACTAGTTCAGAATTATCTGCTGACTGTGAGAGATCAGAATCCAGTGGGTTTCCTTGAGAGAAGTTCCATGCTCACTGACAAAACAATATTCCATCAAGAAAACCATGGTATGGCCTCAGAGCTCTTCTCATGCTGTCCTCTTCTATGTGAAATTGGCACGGATGTGTCTTTGTGCTCGCTTCAGAGGCAGAGGTGGAAGGCAGTAAGGAGGAAGGTAGTCAAGGAGGAGATAAGGCTTTGAGATCACCACTGGGTCCATGTGCAGTGGGGCACAGGGCAAAACGTTTGGTAGCCAGGCAGATGCACAATGTGCTTGCCATGGGGAGTAGTGCCATGTGGGGATGCCTACGCGAGGAAGATTTCTGGTTATCAGGCATGGAGTCTGTCATACGGCAGGAGAGAAAAGGAGAGAAAGAGAATGAATACAAATTCAGGTGTTTATCTGGATGCAATTTATGGCTAGCACAACACTTGTCTTATCATTTTTCTCTCAAAGTGTTTGGCACTAAAAAGAACAACAAACTTTCAGAGAGGATCTCTAAATGGAGTCCTTAAAACATAGTGACAGGCAATCAGTAAGGCAGAAGAGGATTGCTTTTGTTCTATGGTCTGCAGTATTTCTGGGGATGTAGCGTGAGGACAGAACACTTCTCTGCCAGCCAAACAGCTCTTTCAGTTCCAGATTTTGCAGAAGTTGTAAAGCAGATTTTAAGCAGTGGGCTTGGAAGAGAAAACAAGGCAATCATAAGCCAATTTCAAATCATGGTTGAAGTTTCTGGTTTGGAAATGGCTTGCATGACCATAAACATAGCAGGGCAACAGAGGCTAACCCTTATACTCTAGCGGATCAAACGTAGCATGACCACGGTGATTGCCCTGGTCCCTGCTGATCCTCCTCAGAAGTGACAAGTGAAAGATATGTAGAGGTGTAACCCAAATTCACCTGTCTGCTACAAGATGATATGAATCAAGCCCTGTTTAACTACCTCCATTGCAACCCTCTCGGTGCTGGAAAAAGAAAATAAAATCAAACTCCCAAAGGTGTCACCAGATTAAAAAGAAAAGGCAGCCACTGAACTGTCTTGCTCTGCTTTGACTTCTGATTTCAGGGAAAGTTTCTAAGAAGCAAAGTGTGGTGGGAAGGGTAGTTTCTGAACTTGTCTGTTTCACAGGGTAGGTGACCTCAGAAACTATCCTTCCCATCACAATGCACATATTGGGACTTCCCTCCCCTTGAGACCAGCAATCAAAGGAGAATGAGGTGCTCAGAAGTGACACAGCTGCCTCTTCTTCTTTTTCTCTCTTCTTCTTTTTTTCTTCTTTTTATAGAAGTAGTTAGCAGCATGTACAGTTCCTTGGCCCCAAATTTAGTAACTTGCTACTAAGTCATCATTAAAAAAAACTAGTTACTTGATTTGCCCCTTTTCAGCAGGAGCCCTAATAGTAACCCCCCTTTTCCTTAAGCTTTTGTAAATATCTGGATTCCACAAGCCTTTGGTCTATTGTATAAGACACAATTTCCTCGTATCGTCTCAAAACCACCAGAAGAACACAAGAGACACCTAAAGCCAGCCCTTGAACCATGTGATATTCTTCTACCATCATTTAGCAAGGCCTATAATGGATAGTTCAATGGTTTAGGTATTTAGCTGGGGAACTGGATGTTGGGAGCTTGATTCCTCGCTGTGTCTCCTGCGAGTAGAGACAGCCTCTGTGGCTTGGGCAAGCTGAACAGTCCTGGGACACTCCCAGGACAATAGTAAACCACTTCTGAGTACTCTTTACCTAGGAAATCCTGAAAAGGGTCACCATAAAACACAATTGACTTGACAGCACAGAATTATTATAATAGCAGTAGTTTTAATGTAACTTTTAATGTTACTGTTTTTAATCTGTTGTCAATCTATAACTGTAAGATAAATTAATACAACTTAATTATTATTTTTTAAAAAAATTCATTACAAGTAATTAGTTACTTCCAAGCTTTGCCCAGGATAAAATTCAGCTCAAGACAAGTCCAAATGTTTTTTTTCCCCCTTTCAGGCTTCCATGCTTTCCCAAAAATACCATGAGAAGCTTATATGTTTTAATCTGATGGCTCATAGAGCCTAGCCTAAAATCATCATTCAGAAATATCCTGGGATATTTTATAGCCTCTCCAGGAAGCCTATTTTCAAATGGCCTTTGTTATTTATTAATGCTACATATAGCTTTCAATTTATTCAGGCTGTTTCAATTAGAACAAGCAACAGCCTCCAATTCATCATATCCACTGTATTGTGGAAGAAATGTACCTGGGTAAGAAACTAGGTAAAGAGTTTAGGTTTTAAAGGAAGAAGGAAGGAAGAATCTGATTTTAGAATGATGGTGTTGCAGAGAGTAATGTGTGCATGTTAGGAATGAATAAAGATCTTGCTTAAGTTTCTCAGCAGCTTTCTGACTCAAGGGTGGTTGGACATGGCATAGTTCTCTGCCTGTAGAGACCAGTGGCACTCACTTTTATATCTGCTGGTGGATCTGGAATCAAATCAGCCTCAGTTAGATGATGAAGACCACCAAAATTACCAAACCTTTCATGTTTCCTCCACTTTGCCCGCTGGTTCTGGAACCAGATCTATTTGCAGAGGAAGGAAGGAAAAATGTCATGAAACTGAATCAATATCCAACTTTTTAAATAAACAAATGAATAAACTGATAAATACCAAGTGGTAGAAATATTCATGGGCTGCTCACCTCTACAAATTGCTATAATCTATTTGCTTTAGCTGTGGATCTCCTGAATGGACCATGAGTGGGATTAGATGATCTTTGGGGAATCCTCTCTAAATCTGAAGGTCTATTTTTCTCATTTTGCATATGCCAGTCATTTCCAGACGAGCAAGAGAATGGATATTGGTGGGGATTGTTTGAAAGACAGGTGTTCAACAAAAACTTATTGAAGTCTGGATAAGCCAGTCTCCCACAACAATAAGATGCCTTAGAGCCAGACTGACAGATCATCTCATTGCTGATCTCTACCAAGGGCAGTCTGAGGGAACTTTGGAGGGGAGTGGAGTGCTGTTTCATCCACACCACCTGTTTCTGTATTTGAGATGCCTATCCTATATTTGTTTTATATCATTGTTTGATTTATTGTCCATTTAACTTTATCACTGCTTAGAATAGTTCATATGTACTAATGGGTGGTATAGAAATGACTGACTGACTTAATGAATGAATGAATGAATGAACGAACAAACAAACCAGCAGAGCAGAATTCTGAAAAGTTATTTTTTAGTTTATAACTTCCAGATTTGCCCAGCTCCTATGGTCACCACCGGTGATGCTGCCTGGAGAATTTTGGGAGCTGTAAATCACAAAAATTACATTTCTGAGATCTGGGTGTGGTCCTTACTTGAACTGAGCATGAAAACATAGCTGAGAGATGTATCTTTTCATCTAAGGTATATATAACATGTATGGTCCAATTGCCACAGGAGTATGTTTTCTTTTTGCTTTGCTAGGGCTGCTTTGAAGATCTGCTACTGGGGAAATGGGGATTGGTTTGGGAATTTACCAGTTCACTGAGCCAATATGATGTATCCTGGCTTGAGTTTACCCATGTAAACTCATGTATACTTGAGAGTATATGTGTAAGACACAGCTTTGGGGCCACATGAAACCTGTAGACCGCATCTTGTCTTGTTCTCTAGCTGCCAGTGGTCATGCAGCCATCAAGGGGGACTAACAAGAGACCACCAAATAGCCAAAGCAGGTTGTTAAACAAAGGTAAAATACAAAGGTGACAGGAGCAACATACAAAGGTGAAAGAAGGTCTAGTTCATCCATTTTGCTAATTGCAAAATGGATGAACTAGAAGTCAGAGTACATCATAAATAAGGGTCCAACTGGGGTGTTAATTCAAATAAGAAGTAGCCAGGAGAACAGTTGAAGTAGCATCAAGGTCAGGTTGCCAGGAGGTCAAGCAAGCAAGAAACAGACAAGGCAAGAACACAAAAGAAAACATTGTTACTGGCCAGGCTATTCATGAGGAGGCAAACCAGACAGAAGATTCAAGATGGTGAGCAGAAGAGTCAGCATTCCAGCTACTTTCACTCATTGTTGCCACTAATTTCCTTTGCCTTCTACTGAGGTTCTTCTAAGTAGGCTGTCTTGTCTCCACCCAGGACTCAGCTGCAGGCTTTCTAGCACTCAGTCTCACCCCTTTCCTCAAGGAGACCCCTTGCTCAAGAAGAGGTATGTACACCCAAGGAAACTTGCTTTATAACCAGATACAGTGGTACCTCGACTTACGAATGCCTCTACTTTTGAACATTTTGAGTTACGAATAACTCCATTCGCAAAAATTTGCTTCGATTTGCGAATGGAGCCTCGACTTCAACCTTTCCTGCCCCTTTTTTGACATAAGTTCATCTTAGGTCAAAAGAAGAAAAATTTTTTTAAAAAATCTCCCCCCTAGTGGTAGAGTACTGATTAACCGTCTTTACATTAGTTCCTATGGGAACTAATGCCTCTACATACTTGCAAACAGCGCCTCTAGATAAGAATGAAAAACAGCCGGAATGCATTAAATGGTTTTCAATGCATTCCTATGGGAAATTTTGCCCTGACTTACGAACTTTTTGACATATGAACACCGTTCCAATACAGATTAAGTTCGCAAGTTGAGGTACCACTGTAGTGTTTTGGGATGCATCCTGTATGGTTTCGGCCTTTGTTCAATGTTGCTGTTTTGAACTGGGAGGAGCCCAGTCACCTCACTGAAACCTGGAACCTCTCGTGAGGGTTCCATGCAATCAACAGCTGCCTGTTCCTCTGTGCCATCTATCTATGCAGGCTAAGGATCCTTGTCCGAGGAGGATTCCTTCAGCAAAGGCATGACACATAATTTTCTCCTCCCTCCAAAACATTACTTTTTAGTAAATAAATGGTTTCAAAATAAAATCAAAGTTCCTTGTTCCACAAAAAAGATAGAGCTGAGTTACGAATGCATGACATGGGTGACTGTTTAATAGCAAATCAATTTCTGTCGAAGTAAATTTACTTTTTAATGCAGCTAGCAGAAGAAAAGGGACCTCTGGAACAGAACCGGTGTGTATGTTGTTTGTTGACAGAATTGCTCAGCAGTATCATGAGAATTTTCTTTATAAACTGAGAATCGCCATTACATTTTGGAGACAGCAAAGGGAGATACCGTATATTGCACTGTAAAGTATTTTGTAATCTGGCCATTAGTAGGTTTCTAGCCTTTGTTAGCCACTGGGTAGCAGTAACTGAGCCTCCTTCTATGCTTGTCCTACATCAGAGGGAAGCAAAATTTACCTGGATGCTGGTTTCTGGAAGATTGATTTTTGCTGCCAGTTGGTTGCGGACATTGACATCTGGGTAGTGTGTCACCTGGAAGATCCTCTCTAGTTCTCGGAGTTGCTCAGTTGTGAAGGTTGTCCTGATCCGGCGTTTTCCTTTCTTCTCATCTATGCATGCAGGAGAAAGTGGTATGTTTTGAACAACTCTGTCTACAGCATGGGGGAGCAATGCAAATGTATTCTCACTACATGGAATTTTCTTTTAGATTCTTAAGAATTTGCTAACAACTTGAATTGGTTGTGGGGTGGGGTTAACCAAACCTGAAAGAAACAAAACTGATAGATTCATCCTTCCAGGCCCAGGACTTTGCATGCTTAACTCTTAAAAGTCTAGGTGTAAGACCTTGCGTATCCAAACTGATTGTGCTTTATGAGGATAACCACCTCTTTTTTTCAAGAGGCTCCTAATCTTTAATATATAAATGGTAGATATGTAACCTAGAATTCTGTATGCTAGAATCTCAGTGCCTATTAAATTTGGCCAATGCTAAATGGGGGAAAATGTTCCAGTTCTTTTTGAAGAATTCAGCAATATTTGCAAATTGCATCTGGAACAAAAAGTTCTTGACATCTCAAAATATGAAATGAGAAAACAAAAGTGCCAGATTTTCCCATTCCTCAAGTGAGGCAGAGGAGAAGGTATCTCTCAACTGTTCTTTATTGTGTATGTATGAATCTCCCTTTATTTAAAGGAGCTCGGATGCCATAAGAAAGAAGTGCTATCGAACTGGGTAGGGTAGGCTGATGGATAAGCCCCATTCACAAAAATAATATGTGGAGAACTGAATGTGATTCTGCCTGCAGGTTCCACCAACAGCACGGCTTATAACAGGGAAAGGGGAGGAAGGATTAATCCCTAGTCCAGTACACAAACAGCCCCGTTTGCAAAAAACATACAGCTCCTATGCAGTTTACAATGAAGTTCTGAGAGATTTAGGTTTCCTGAGTGGCCAATATCATAATCCCTACTCAAAAAATCCTGGGATTTCAACTCTGTAAGTCTTGGATCCAGTACATCACTGCTATTCTGTCTCCTTTCAGATGCATTGTTTTTATTTATTTATTTATTCATTTTCTTAACTCATATAAGCTAATCCTTTGCTTCCAAAAGCTAAAAAGCTACATGAGGTTGATGCTGCTGCTGCTGAAAGAAAAAGGAATGAAAGCGACAACTATCTTTGTATCATGATTTCAAACCGAATTCAGTTAGTCAGAAAGTTGAGCATCCATCATGGTGTATACTGTCATCATAAATTCTTCTCAAAAAGCACGGGTCAGATTGAATGAATAAATGAAACTTATGTACCAGAAAGCTCCAGGACCTTTAACTAGCGTAAGGAAGTACACAACTCATTAAATGCATCTCCAGCAGTAGCCTCAAGGACTGTGTGTCCATCACATTGAGTCCTGATGACATTATTAGGGCAGTGATCAGAAATGAACAAAATTCCTTGCATTCACGTTAAAGACTAGAGTTTGGAAGCTGTGATCCTGTTGAAACAAATTGTTTCAGAAGAAGGACCTAGAGGGACTGAGAGAAAGAGAGAGATTGAGAGACAGAAGGAAAGAGAGAGAGAGAGAGAGAGAGAGAGAGAGAGTAGCAGACTCCTTATGGATGTGTACTACACTGTAGTGTTAAAAACATGTTTCATGAAGAGGCAAACCATGATGTGGATGGCAGCATCTCAGCCTGGAATTACCTCTAGGACTCTAGAAGTCACTCCTGATGAAGAGAGTTACTGTTTCAAATCTAAAAAAGGTAAGATCAGGAATTGCTGTTGTGAAACCCACAAAACGTATAAATCTGTATGTAAATGTCATGGCATGTATAGATACCCTGGTTGCTTCTTGAAATGACCTATCAGGAATAGAGAATCTTGAAATGACCTATCAGGAATCATCTGGTTTCTATGTTTCTCACATTCACATTTTCTTTTTAAAAAAATCTCTTTTCATCCCATATATTAAGACAATATGAAGACAATCACCTTCAAATACTAAAGAGGCCTGGCCCAACTTAGATTTCAAAGTCAGAAGAGGATGTTGGTTGGAGGATGCTGTTTTGCTCTTCTCCCAAATGACCGGTTCATGCAACCCAAGTTCATGCTGGCATAGAAAACACCACATTACCAAGAGCAATGGAAGAGGCTAAGCAGTGCCTCTATTTGTCACCACCACTTCTAGGACAGAGACCATCATTAGGCAGAAGTGAGGTCCAACATCTACCTCACTTTGCCCGCCACAGCTATTGAACCTGATCAGGTTCCATGTCTATTTGTTCTCTTGTAAAAATTTCTCTGTGGGACTCTCACTCATTTTGTCTTCACTATAATAATGGAAGCCCAGATTCTTGGATTAGGAGGGGACTCTATTTGTGCCCAGTGCAGAGTGAAGAGGTAGTGGGACAGATTGGCTCAGAGCAATTTTGAATAGTGGGAAGCAGCTTTTTGCATATGTACTGTTTTTGATTAGCCTATGGCCTGTGCTGTTTCTTATAGCCAGTCAGCTGTCAAATTGGCCAGAATGGAGGTGAGGCCTCAAAGGTGGACCAGAAGGAGAACCTCTCCACTCTCTTGCAGTCCTCGCTTACAAGTATGGGTCACAGAACAGAACTGGCCCAGTTTTTTTTTTCTTGGCTGCCTCCATATATGATGAGAAAACTAGGACATATACTTCACAGGAAAAATATATGAAGCTTGTACAGTGACAGTGACACGCATACCATTAGAGTGAATGAAGCGTCTACCTCAGGCAGTAAATATACTATGTCAGGAAAGGGCAGAAATTATTTTATTATTGATTTTTTAAAAACTGCCAAAGAGAAGAGGCACTTGTGAAGTTTTCTTGTGTGCCGAAATAGCTTGTCTTAGGCAGCAAAATGCCTTGGGAAGGCCAAATATACCAAGGCACCACCAACTCTGTTAAAGGGTCTTACCACGTATGGGTTAGGCTGTGCTCGCCCCCAAACCTATTGGCTGGAGAACACATTGGCTCCTGAGAATAGATAAATGAGCCATCTGTGCTGTGTTTCACTGAAGCTCATTCTCAAGCAACATTGTTGATGTTTGGTGACCTTAATCTTGCTGCTTTTTTCTAGTTGGCCTGGCAAACTGATTTTGAAAATGCAGGTTGAGCAGGGATGACAACAACAACAACTACATAGAAAGTGTTTTGAGTGCCAGTCCTGCTGTGAAACAGTTTTTCAAAGCTGCAACGCATCAAATTAAAAGAATAAAATAACCCGAGGTCAGTTGTGGGCCAACAGAGACTGAGCGGATGGGCTTTGATTTTAACTCCAAATGAAAAAGCTGCTGATGGAATTACAGGAAGCTAATCAAGAACTCGCCAGTAGGAAAGTGAGATGGTGCATTTTTGATTAAACTTAATCAGTAATTCTGTTTATGTTTTCAGAAAAAGGAGAGAAATGAGTTTGTGAAGGGGAGTGGGAGGGAAAAAGTGACAAGTTTATGTTAGTGTTCACCCCCCTCCCCCACTGCAAGGTGAAAATTTCTTTGACTACAGCACCACATATTTGGATATGCCTTTGGGACCCGCAGCTTTAGAGATCTTAGAAAACAACAGCACTCAGAATTACAATTTAATAAAGACTGTGGGAGAAGGATGCAGGCTAGAAGACATTACACATAATGCTGGTTTTATAAATTTGGCTCCCACGTCCTTTGGGAAATAAGAAGTGCATTTCTTTCTTGAAACACTTCCATATGCAAAACATGAGATATTCACAATCTTGGATGTTGTTTTTTTTAAAAAAGCTTCAGGGCAGTCGTTCAGAATAAAAATTCAAATAGTTTAGGAATGCAGGCCTTTTCACTAAATGTGACGATTAAAGCTCATGCAAAGTCCCACCTTCCTCATTTGACAAAGAGAAACTATCATGGATTTTATGGTTGTTGTGGGTTTTTCGGGCTCTTTGGCCGTGTTCTGAAGGTTGTTCTTCCTAACGTTTCGCCAATCTCTGTGGCCGGCATCTTCAGAGGACAGCACTCTGTGCTCTGGTGTAGTTGGCTTGGTTAGGGTTACCATAAACCAGGGGTGGATGGCCCTCCAGATGCTTTTAGACTGCAACCTCCCTAATCCCTAGCCAGTATAACCAAAGCTTCAGTCCAAGAACCTGAAGGGTCACCATGGGCCCAACTCTACCACTGGTCTTTAAGAATTTGAGGGAGAAATACTAGTTCAGTGCCTCTAGTCTTGGGTACACTGTACGATCCCCAAACACCCCACCCCCACCCCAAAGAAGAGAATGGTAAACCACTTTTTACACTCAATACCTGAAAAACTCTGAACATGATTACCATGCATCAGAGTTGACTTGACAGTAATTTGTTGTTCCAACAGCAACTCAAAAATTAATAACTTTTAAGTGGGAGAAGTTCAAGGCAAGATCCAAAACCCCACATTTAGATATGGATTGGGCAAAAATATCAGTATAGCTCACTTTTTCATTTGGGTTTTTAAAGCTGACTTTTGAGTATTGAGAAAAATATTATTCTTTTCGGTAAATATTTTGTCAGCAATGAAATTAATTTTCCCTCTACCAGAAAAAAAATTAAATAGGTACAGTTGTTCCTAGCACAGAGAGGACAATGTTTTGATCTGCAAGCTGCAAAGGTGTTAATAATTAGAAAACTACCAGGAAAAACAAACAAACAGAATGGCTTTCCTTCAATTTGGGTCTATATGCAAGATTCTAGCTGCACATGGCGGCTGAACAAATGATTGCAGCATTGAGATAGCAGAATCATACCCCTTCAAACCACAGCAGTGGAAATTAATGTATCTGAACTACAACTGCCATCATCTCCTGTGCAGGATGGCTACTGCTCACACTGGCAGGGGGATTTAGGGAACTGTAATCTGTATTTCAAACTGCAAGTGGTATGTGGAGGTTCATATTTTTAATGCACAAAAATGAACCTGTTTTTTATTTACAAAGCTTTTAATGGGAAGCATTTCAAAAGAAAAGTTCTTGTTAAAAAAGTCTTCTGCATTTTCAGCCATCAAATCTCATTCAATGCGATTGCTATTTTTAGTGTGAAAATAAATCATGTTTGACAGTGTTTTCAAAAGTAAATATATTTCATTGA